ATCACCACACGCTGTATGACACAAGCGGTTTATTTCTCTTCAGGTGCGCTCAGACTGACATCAATAAATTAACAGCACCCATATGTGCGAAGATCACTTAGGCAGTGAATTAATGGGAAATGAAATGATCAACATATAAAACCAACAACATATAAAACAATCAACTACCTAATATTCCATAAAACAATTTAAAAACACCTATACCTACTAATAAAATCTGTTATAAAACACTATAAAATGTTTCTAAATTCACTCCAAAACACGCTTCCTGATCGGATTGTGTTCATCAAATGCAACACGAAGTGAACTTACGGGTTTCGCAGAGTTCTGGAGCGCAGTTCAGATGATTTGCAGAATAAGTGAATAAATATCTTTGAAGGTTCATTACCAATGGAGCAATATATACACTTCGGACTGGCCGCACCAATCTATACACATTTCACGTCACCAATTCGTCGATATGCCGACGTGATGGTGCATCGTTTGCTGGCCGTCTCAATCGGTGCAGATTCATCTTATCCGAATATGCTGAATGGCGATTTGGTCCAAAAAATCTCATTGAATCTGAATTACAGGTCTTTCTCAGTGATTCTTATTATTATTGTCATATGGCCATTAGAAGTGTCTAATATGGAAAATGAAAGCAAACGATGAATATGGAGAAGTATCTGAAATTTCAGACATAAACAAGCACAATATGCGAGCAGAGCATCGATATTGTTGAATACACTTCTTTACTTCAAAGGACGTGCTGAAATTCATGATGGCTTCATTATGGGAATACGTAAAAATGGTATTCAGGTATGGGGCTTCATCTCAAATGCTTAATAATATCGCACCCTCACTCATTCTCACAGACATAAGTCGAAAACATTAATGATATTTGCACTGAGTCAAGCTTTTTCTTAAAAGTTGTGTTGAAATCAATCGGCATACTAAAACACGTAGTTCATTGGATATTTTAATATATGTTGTATGAATGTGATAAAAATTGCAGGTATTCGTGCCGAAATATGGGCTGGAATCGGTGGTTGTATTTCCGGAAGGATCGGACTATGAAATAACAGATGAATATTTCAAGGCGAACAATACACGAGTTGATTTGTTCGCGAGAGTTACCGTTGAAATATCGCTGAATGAATCTAATTTACAACACATTCGCTTGCAAATGAAACTCGTAAAACCAAAAATTGACGGCTTCAGTGTGGATTATATCTTATCTGCACCAGAGGAATGATTTTTTGTTTAATTTTCGTTGTTTTGTAATCATTCCCATTGACTATAATTGTTATTATCTGTACTGCTGATGTGTTTTGAATGCCACTTTACTACCTATTATTGTTCCATGCAATACGCATTTTATGACTAAACCCTTCATGTTATTGTTATCATTGTTTCTTTATTATGCGTAAAATTTCTTTTTGATATTATTATTATTATTATTACTACGGTTACCTCTAATAAACTTTCTAAGTGGTTTCATCTGTTCTAGTT